ATAAAGCTATTGTCAATCCCAGCTGCATGTCTTTTTCCGTGCGGACAAGGTGAACCTGCGTTCATCCAGCAGTAAACATAGCAGGCAAGGTCCCTGTGCTGATGGAGCTGCCATTCTTGGTGCCGGGAGGTTGAGGAATGAAGCCTTTGTCCAGTGAACAAACAGTATACAAGACACTTTCATATCATGTGAAGGGACTGGCAGGAAACACAATGGGGTCACGTGACGGTGATGGGCAGAATGGTGGATTAGCTGGGCTGTTAGTTAGTCTGGCTGCCTTCCCAGAATCCAAATAACAGGGGCTTAATTATGGAAGAGGTTTCCCTCTCCGGCCTGGAGAAGGGGACGGGGAAGGCAGGGCCCAAACACATCATTTCCCTAAGTCACCTGGCTACCCAGCCGCAAGGGACACAGAGAATTCGTCTCTAGCTGGGTAGCCATGTGCCAGTGAAAGCCCTGGGGGAGGGGTATCTATTAGTGAATGAGGGAGGGAAGAATGGCTCCAGAGCACAGTGACAGCGTCCTACTTGGGACAGGGCAGTCAAGGACCAGAAGGAGCAGTGCTGGGGCTCGGAGATCGCAGGGGTGACGGGCTGGAGAGAGGCTGGGCGTGCCGGACCCGTGGGCCACGGACAGCAGCTGGGCTTTTGAGTGCAGCAGGAGCCATTGGAGGGTTTGTAGCACCGGTGATGACAGGATCTGACAGCTTACATTCTAAAGATATTTAGAGGAGGCAGAGAGGACGCTGGAAGAGCAGCTAAGAGGTCACTGCAGGAATCCAGGCAAGGGCAGGGGAAGGCCTCAGAGGTGAGAAGTAGAGGGTGGGTTTGATAAATATCTTGGAGATAGTGGTGTCAGGGCTTGTTGAGAGCCGGGGAGGACAGGAGAGGAGGATCAGGGACCTGGGAGCTACCTCTACCCCTCCCCCAGCTGCCCCTCAGCCACGCCCTGCCCGTGTGCCAGAAATCTGAGGTGTTTCGTGCCCTGTACCCGACAGTCACCTGCCTATATCCTAATGTTCGCTAAGGCCCAGTTCAAGTCCAGCTCCTCTGAAAGCCTTCCCAGGCCTCCCAGAGAAGCCAGCGGGCCCCGGCCCGTCCCCGTGTACCTCTGTATTGCTGTTTGAATTACCTGGGGACCAAGACCTAAGGGCAGAGGCAGCCCACTTCACTTTGGTATCCAGCCCAGGGCTTGGCTTACAGCTCTGGGTACAACACCTGATGTGAAAGTCAGTTGTGTGTTTCTCGGTCTAGACTTGCATTTCTAAGAGGGTACGGCTGAATTTTATTTCTCTTTATGTCCTCACTGCCCAGCACAGGGCCTGAGAGCCCTTCATTCCTTGATCCATTGCACATTTATTGAGCTCCTGCTACCTACAAATCTCTGTGCCAGACACCAGGGGAAAATGCTGTCCCTAACACCAAGAAAATCCAGGCTACAGTGATTCTCGGGAAACGGGACTGATGTAGGCATCACCTGGGCAGTACCCTGCCCTCTCCCCCAGGGTGAAAGCAGGGGGTTCTGGTGTCCAGGTGAATGCTAGGGGGCTGGGTACAGGAGAGATGGATACTAAATGATACTTAAATGATGAATAGATGGATAGATAAACGGGTGAATGGAAGGGTGGAGATATACTCTGTGAATGAATAGATAGATGGAAAGGATAGATGTTTGAGCAGACGCATAGACTGAAGGACCATTGGATGGCTGAATGGACAGTGGGTGAGTAGATAGAGGAATTAGTGGATATTGAATGGACAGGATGGATGGATAGATAGACGATGGACATTGTATAATGTATGGTACTATATGGATAGATGGTTGAATGGACCCTGAGTGAATGGGTAGATGGATGAGTGAATGCTCGGTGAATTGAGCAGCAGATGGATGGTTAATGGATGGTGGTTGAGTGCTGGGTGCTGGATGCTGGGTGAATGCATTTCCTAATCATTGGTCTTGATTTCCCCGCAGCATCCGACTCTAAACAGCCAATTCACATGGTCTATGTCCCCTCCCATCTCTACCACATGCTTTTTGAACTCTTCAAGGTGAGGCAGCTGAGATAGCACTTTGTGGGGTTGGAGGCGGCCAGGGCTCGGCTTCTCTCACTCATCCTTCCCTCTCCCTCCACAGAATGCCATGCGAGCGACCGTGGAAAGCCATGAATCCAGCCTCGTTCTCCCTCCTGTCAAGGTCATGGTGGCCTTGGGAGAGGAAGACCTGTCCATCAAAGTATGTAAGCCTTGACTTTGTGGGGAAGTAGGAGGCACTTCCCTCCTGCCAGGAGGTGGGCTTGGGAAGACTCTGGGGGTGGGGAAACCCAGGAGAAGATCGAGGGGGTCAGGGGGTGCGGGGGTGTGGAAAACAGGCTGGAGAGCCCCCATGTCTCATCTCCCCTAGATGAGTGACCGAGGTGGGGGTGTCCCCTTGAGGAAGATTGAACAACTCTTCAGCTACATGTACTCCACAGCACCCACCCCCCAGCCTGGCACGGGGGGCACCCCATTGGTGAGATGGCTTCGTTCAGCTCCCCTCCTGCCCCTAAAGGATCCTGCCTCTTCCTCTCTCCTCAAACTGTCACCCTCCCTCTCTCGCTTCCTTCTCTCTCAGGGTCTCCCCATTCTCACGTGGCTGTGTGTGGTGTCCGTCACCTCTCCCGAGGCTGGGCCCCTGCTCCTCCTGTCTCTGCCCAGCCTGCCCCTCCCTACCTATCTGTGGGTCTGTCCGTCACCCTTCCTCAGTTCTCCCTCCCCCATGTCTCTCCTCCCAAAGTTACTAACCATTTGTTCAACTCAGCACCTCCCTGTCCATTCCCAGGGGAGTAGGCAGAGCTGGGTTTGGGAAACAGATTCAGAGGAGCCCCAGGACCTGTCCAGATCCCCCGGCTGCCAGGACCTAGCTCCTCCCCTTGCCCTGCTAACGCCCCTACACCCACAGTGCCGCCTCAGCTCCCCCCCACCCCCAGACTGACCTTCGTCACCCCATAGCTCCTGTCTTGCCCCAGAGACTCCTGTCTTTTGTGTCCCCTCCCATCTGAGTTCTGGGGACCCCTTGCATGACCCCAGCTCAGCACCCCTCAGTATACCTGTCGCTGCAGCGCCAGCCTCCTCATCACACTCCCGTCCTGTCCGCTTGCAGGCTGGCTTCGGGTACGGGCTCCCCATTTCCCGCCTCTATGCCAAGTACTTCCAGGGGGACCTGCAGCTCTTCTCCATGGAGGGCTTTGGGACGGACGCCGTCATCTATCTCAAGGTGAGGGTCCCTGCCTGCTGAGCGTGTTAGATTCCTTTTCCATCCCTCCAGCCCTTGCCCAGTTCCAGACAGAATCAGAGCAAAGCTACAGGCCCCCAGGCCCCAGACGCTCCCACCCTGACAGGCAGTTTCAGGGAGTCCGTGGTCCGTGACTAAGACCCTGCTCTGGGGACGCTGACTTGTCAGACCCAGACGGAAGGCGGGTGGCCATAGAGAATCTGTCATTCGGCTCAGGAGGACATGGAGGCCCAGAGCTGATGACCTTCAAGAACACTCGGCCCAGCCTCCTCGAATGGGCAGGAGCAAGACACAGAGGGACAGGCCCTTGGGGGTCTCCCTGGGCCAGGCTGGGTTGTCTCAGCATGTCTGGCACTTGGCGGGGCCGATAGAGTCAGTGGCCAGCACAGTCCGCCCTGGGGCCTGGGTGGACTGCTGAGCAGTGGGCAGGCGCGGGCGGGGCAGTGGGCGAGGCTGAGCCTGACACTCCCCAGGCCCTGTCCACGGACTCGGTGGAGCGCCTGCCCGTCTACAACAAGTCTGCCTGGCGCCACTACCAGACCATCCAGGAGGCCGGCGACTGGTGCGTCCCCAGCACGGAGCCCAAGAACACGTCCACGTACCGTGTCACTTAGGGGCCAGGGCACCTCTGCACCTGAGAGGATGGACTGCTTGCTGCCTCTGGGACCGGCCACCACGGCTGCCCTCCCCGTCCCCTGCCCCCAGGTGGGGAGACTCCCCAATGACCAGCTCCTGTCTCTATGGAAGTCACGGCGGTGACCAGGCTGTGGTGACCCCTAAGTGCCAATCTGTCTGTCTGTCTGGAGATTCTGAGGTGGTCTCCCCAGTGTCCAATCTCTGGGAGATCCCTGAGGATTGGGGGATGTCTCCACCTGCTGGGGTGTCCCCATGGCAGTCCTGATACCAGAGCTGCCATTTTTCTGCCAGGGTCCCCCTCACCGCCCTCCACAGCCTGGTCTTCCAAACAGATGCCCCTGCCTGCCTTTTCCCCTTAGTCTGCCCAGGCACCCCAGCCCTGGTCCGTGTCAGCAGTAGGAAAGGGTCCCCCAGATCTCGGTGGTGTGTGGGGAAAGGGGTTGCACCCTTGGACCCCTGGGTGGGACCTGGCCTGGCAGCTTCACCCTCCACTCTGAGCTTGAGGTCCAGGTTAGGAGGGAAGGGGTTCTTACCAGGACCTCACCCCTAAAGTGGAGGAGCCTGGGAGGACCCTGAGGTACACGCCCAGCCGGCTGCTGGAAGCAGGGGCCCCAGCAGTATTTCTGCCGCCTCCCAAGCCCTTCCCTGCACGTCCTAACATGCACACGCCCACCTGCCCACCTCACATCCACACCGTCCACCTGAGCTCCACCCCAGCTCCCACTGTGCCCAGACATGTGCATGCCTGGGGTGGCGTTCTCCCTAATACTCTGTGTACATAGCTAGTTTTATAGCCCCGAGTGTCCCCACCCTCCCCCTTAGCACACGGGGGGTTAAAGTTGTGTGCTCTTCCCAGTGGCTGTGATGGTGACAGGGACATCCACAGTAAAGAGATGCAATGAGAATTCGGCCTGGCTGCTTTCCTGCCGGGCGGGAGGGGGGGATCCACAGGACAAACAAAAGACAAGTGCGTGCAGACTGCAGCCCCTGTGACCAGCATATGACACGCTCGGGATGGCCGGACAGCCCAGGGCATGACTTGGTGTTACCACAAGGACAGAGCCCAGGCCAGCCCCCAGCCAGGAAGACAGAGATCACTGGCACATCATAAGTGTTTATTGAAATAAATTGAGTACTGCCTCCCCCCTTCACATGCAGGTGGGCACCCATAGAGCTCCCGATAGTTTCCAGGACCCGGGTGCCCGCCAACCTCCCACCAGCCTCCACTGGGCCCAGGTGGTGCCAGTGCCCCCGTATCTGTTTCCCTCTGAAGCCCCTCCTCTAGCAAAGAGCAGCAAAGGGCTGGGTTCCAGGGACGGGGTGGCCCTCAAGCCACAGGCCCTGGGCAGGAATGAAGGGAGTCGGCATGCACTGGGTCCTGTCCCCCACTCCAGGCAGATGGAGGGGTGGGGCCACTTCTAGTCAGAGGCCCCCACTGGAAACTGGCCAGTGCTCCAGAAGCTGGGCTAGTTTTCTAGCCCCGAGTGCGCCTCCCGACAAGGACAGGTGCCATCCCTGGGCTGCTGGGATACACTCCATCCCCACGGGGTGGGGGCTGGCCCCACCCCTCCTTGTAGGCAGAGCCTGCACTGTCTCCCAGGTGAGGGAGGGCTGACAAACCCTGCCAATCTAGCAGTTTCCTGGGGACCCAGAGTTGCCTCTGCCTGGCTAGGGTGAGGATTCGCCAGTTCAGTCCCACACAGGCATGGGTAGGGGGCGTCCTGTGTCCCCACCAGCTCTGAGTTTGTTCTGTGAGCAGCTGGAGGAGGAGTGGGCCTGCCGTAGAGAGCAGGACAAACACAGGCCTGGCTGGGCCCCGGGAGGGGAGGACTGTAAGGTGTCCTCTCGTCATTGGGACCGCAGGGCAGGGGAAGAAGAGGGTTTCATCCTCCCTTCGCCTGAAGTCTGCACAGACGCGCGGATAGCCATGCTGCTTGCTCTGCTCTCCGGTTGAGGAGACTGGAGTCTACCCTGAGTGCAGCGGGCTGCAGTGCCCACCGGCCTCCCTGGGAACAGAGGGCTCTCCCACACACAGCCACCTTGGAGAGCCCGAGAGGACCAACTCCACCCACCCACTCCTCCCGGGTGCTCAGCCACCTGACAGCCCTGGGACCCGGCTCCATGGCAGGGCCTCTGGAAGGCAGGCAGGTAGACATGCCAGCTTCCTGCAGTCCCCAGCACACGGTGGCCTGAGGACAGAGGGTCAGACTGACCCAGGGACCTCTGGGCTCCCAGGCTGCCTTCAGCCCTGGCCTCCCTGCCCTCTTCCCAGGATCTGCAACCTCCCCCAGGAGCTCTGTGCCAAACCAGCCCTGGAAGGCGATTTAGTAGTGGGCCCTCTCCCTGGGCCTCCCTTTCTGGGGGATCTTGGTCCAGACAGAGTGACAAGATGAAAGAGGGCATGTACCCCTGAGGCCGTGGGGCCGGGCCAGCCCAAGCTTGGCGCCCAGGCTCCACTTCCCCGGGAGCCTGTGCCCGCCGGGCGGCGGCTGCCCGTGCCTGGGTGCCATGCCTGCCTCGCTCTCCTCTAGGTCTTCTTGGCCTCCTGCTCCCGGCGCCGGAGCTTCTCGCGCTGCCGGGCAGCCTTCTCCTGGGCCTTGCGCTCCTTCTCAGCGGCCGCTGCCAGCTCCTTCACCTTCCGCTTCACCAGTGCCCGGTCATGCGAGCTGCTGAGCCCCAGGCTCTGGGGGAGGAGCTGAGAGTGAGGGAAAGCGCCCCAGAACCACCCCCAGGTTCTGTGTGTCCAGGTGTGCCCTCCCCGGAGCTCCACCTGTCCTCTCTGAAGTGCAGCCTCCACCTCCCAGACCTGCCAGTGAATCAGAACCCTCAGAGCAAGAATGTGAAACGGGAGTAGTTCGGAGAGAAGAGGGTGGGGAGTACCAGGCCCTTTACCAGCACCCCAGCCCTCACCATCCTCCACTTCCCATAATCCCTGGCTCCCACTCCTCCACTCAGAATTTCAGCCTGGCCATGACCCTGATGCCCAGAGATGGGGTGCAACTTGCCCAAGGTCACACAGCTGGTCAGTTGGTGAGGCCCCTTCCCACTCGAGAGACTTCCCGGGGGGCTCTCCTTCCCCAAGCAACTTGGCAGAAGGTGGAAACAGGCCAGAACCTCGCAGCACAGACATCAGGGCCCTCCTGATCCCCCTCCATTACCACCCGCCTCCACAACTGAGAATCGGACAAGGTGATAAGGGGAGAGGCCTGCTTCCTCTTGATACCAGGAGACTCATCAGAGTCAAGAGTTAGATGAGATGAAGCCCTAAAGGTCAAGGCCTGGAGCTTGAAGGGCAAACTAAAGAATTGGGTTTCAGTTTCACTTTCAGAGTACAAAGATCAGGCCAGGGACCCTGCCTAGACGTCAGAGGTTTGGGCAGTAGGAGTGACAAGGTCAGGATGGGGGAACCCAATCCTTGAAGGCTGGCTGCCTCAGGCTCTGACCCACCTTCAGTTTGCTCCCATCCAGCTGCAGGAGCTGCGGCCCGTCCACCTGCCGTGCGGCAAACTCAGCGGCATACTGCTCCAGGTTGAGGCTGTGCAGCCACTGGCCCACCTGCTGACTGGTCCAGTGGTGGATCGTGGGAAGAGGTTCATCCAGGAACTGGGGCGGAGACCAAGGAGAGTGAGGGGGGCAGACCTGGCCTGGGGCCTGCACACCCGGCAGAGTCAGAGGCCAGGGCCTGCTCACCTCATCCGAAGACTGGGACAGCGTGTGGTAGGGGTAGGAGCACTTGGTCTCCTGCCGGGGACCACTCGGGATCTTGGGGCTGCTGCTGGGGGGTGTGGAGTCATCACTCAGGGTGGATTCCTAGACGGGAGGGCGTGCATGCTGCTGAGCAGAAAGCTTGCCCCCAGCTCAAGGGAGTCCCCGCAAACCACCCACCCCCATCTGGACGGAGATGTCCTGGACGAGGCACCAGGCACCCTATGCATGAGCCAGGAGCTGGGCAGACACCACATGACTTGGTGACTCGTGAGAGGCACCAGGAGCTGAGGCCTGTGGAAGGACATGGGGCTAGAATGAGCCAGGCAGAAAAGTTAGCAGGAATAGAGGAGACCTCAGGCTGGGTATACGCTAGGGGAATCATAATATTTAGTGATGTGCTGAACTGATGAAGCAATGAATGAATTAACAACTTAACTGATCAGAATATGAATAAGTGAACAAGTGAATGCACAAACTGAGATGGATGAATGAGTGAGCCACCGAATGGCTTTATGGAGGACTAATGGACTCTAGGAATGCCTGATCCCAGCCCGAGCCAGCGTGGAGTATGCTCTCATGTCATCTGAGCCCTAGGGCCAGTATGGGGGCAAGAAGGCCATGGACTTACCTGAGAAGCTGACTTCTTAGGGCTGAAGCTCTCATGTTTAGGGGAGCAGGCAGGGGAGGTGGTGCTGCCGGAGGACGCCGAGCCCTTGCCGCTGTCTGTGAACCAGGAAAAGGGCAGGAACGGGGAGCCCGCTGACCTGCTGGACCCCTCCACTGACTCCCTGTGGAGAGAGCACCCTGCTTGGGTGTGGGCACCGAGGAGAGGGCCGGGCCCACAGGGAATTATGGGTAGAAGCTGAGGCTGAGGTGTGGTGAGTACCACTTACCTGCTGCCCATGGACAGGCGGTTGCTGCCCTTCTCCTTCCGGCTCTTGCTAGTAGATGCTCGGCGTAAGGTGACCCTACAGGGAGGGAAGAGGGGGGTGGGCCAGTGCTGCCCACTGTGCTACCCTGCACCCCAACAGCTCCAAGCCTTTGGCTCTGGTCCCTCCTCCACTCACCCCAGGTCCAGAAACTTCCGGCGAGTCTTCTTATCCAGGCCAATGGTGGGACTGGCAGGCTCAGGTGGGCTGGCATCCCGACTATCATCTTTTGGGGAAGAGGGAAGGAAATAGCCCATGTGGTTGCCTACCTGCTTCCTCCAGCTGCTGGTGTGAGGTGCTGGAAATGCTCCCGACTTAGAATCATGCCATCTGGCTCTGGTGCCCCTCACTGGCTGTGTGACTCAGGACAGTCAGTCTAACTCTCTGAGCTCCCTGCATCTCAAATACGGGATATTTCATGGGACCTAATGGGATGTTTATGAAAACCTTATGCAAACCATAAACCACTCTGAAAAGGTAGAGACCACTAGTATTTCATGTTAATTTTATCTTGGCCAACTTCTAATCAGCCTTCCAATCTTGCACCACATGTCACTTCCTCAGAGAAGCCTTCCAGGATGCTCCCAACTAGGTCCTGTCACCTTTTATATGCTCCCTTGTGGCCAGCGGCTACAGCGTTTGGACAGGTTCAAGCCTGGGACTAATGAGAGGGCACGTGCAAGTCCCAGCACAATTATAGCCAAAGGCTATGGTTGAACCTAGTAAGCTTGACCTTATGGTCTGAACCTGTAGCCCCACGTGGCTGAGTGATATGGGCTGCGGGGTGTGCAGCAAGGAAACACAGCTTGATCAGGTGCGTGTAATTGAGTGGATTCGAAACCCTCGAGAACGTTGTAAACATCCTGACCACGCCCCTACTTTACCTCGTGGAATCTGTCTATAAAATAAATCCTCGGCTTGCAGGCGCTGTCTCTCCATCAGAGAAGCGGTGTCTCACCTGGGCCCAGCTTTCCTCTTGCCCGCTACCAGCGGTCGCCAACCGGTGGTCCGCGAGGTCCGAAAGGTTGGCGACCGCTGGTTTAAGGAAACCTTTGGAGCAGGTCGCCAACCGGTGGACTATAAGGAACTATTTCATTGTTCCTCCCGGAAACTACAAGCCCCCGGAGGCTGAGAAGCTGCATGTTTGCTCGCTTGTGGGCCGAGCGTCCCGTCGTAGGCGCTCAGATGAGTGAAACGAGGTGCTAACCACCGTCACCACCGCAGCCGCTCTGCACCCGGTCCAGCCCTGGGCTTCGGGGCCGCTGCGGTCCCCGCGCGCACCAGCAGGGGGCGCCGCGCGGGCCTGGCTCACCTTCGCTGTGCGGCTCGGCACGCAGGTGGCGGCGCACAAAGCTGGGCGAGCTGTCCGAGGAGGGCGCGGAGCGCGGCGGCGAGCAGGAGGCGGCGGCCAGGCCCTCGTGCGAAGCGGCCGTCGGTCACCTGCGGGAGGGGCAGCCGCTCACCGCCATCCCTCCTCCCCGCTTCCCTGAGGGGCTGGGCGCCAGGCTCACCCTGTAAACTGCACGGGAGCCTCTGAGGCGTCTTTTGGGGGACCTAGAGGGGGTTCTCCCCATGCGGGCGGAGGGGTGGCTGGGCAGTGCGAGGGGGGAACAGGGGCAGTCACATAGGCTGGGGCTGAATCCCACCTCCTTCCATTACTGTGTGACTTTGTGACGGAACCTCTGAGCCTCCGTTTTCTCATCTGTAAGATGAGGATCATCATCTCTTCCTTAAGGATGAAATGAGCCAAATGTGAAGGTAGCTACAGCTTGTGAGCATTATTAGATCAGAAGCCTGGGTGTGTGGCTTCCCTGGAAGAGGGTGTGGAGGGGCTCTCCAGGGGCAAGAAGAGTGGGTGGGGTTGTGTGATTGGGTGGGCGGCCCCAACCTTGCCTCCGGGCCCATCGGAGCCTTCACCATCCTCCGCAGAGCTGGCACTGTCCCGAAGCCTGGAGCGGGAAGGCCGGTGTCTACGGCCTTTGGCCAGCAGTTGGGCCCGGGCTTTGTGTAAACTGCTGTCCAGTCTGACGGTCTCTGGCACAGCCAAGTCTAGGTCTGCAAACCGGGGGGAGGGGCAGAGACCAGATGCATGAGGACAGCAAGCCCAGAGGCCCACCTCCAGTGGCCACCTGCACTCACGCCCCAGGCATTCAATGAATGTTTCCGAGTGCCAGGCACTGGGAGTGCAGATGAGATGGGTAATGGTCTCTCAGTCACGTTGGCACATAGATACAGCTGGGTGATGGAACCCTCACAGGCAGGGGGGGACAGGACCGCTCTGGCTGGCTGGGTCAGAGGAAGACACACCAGGGCTGGGTTTTAGGATCTGCATATGCCAGGTTGGCGAGACTCGTATATGCAATGCTGGGAAGTAGGGCAGCGGGGCCAAGGGGGCACCTCCCGGGCAGTTGAAGGGTATAGGTTTGTGGAGGGAAGGGCTGGGGGATGAGACTGGAGAGATCACGGTAGCAATGGCTATCGCTGAGGAAGTGCCGACTGCACCAGGCTAGGGCAGTTATTATGCGCATTTTAGAGCTGAGCAAACTTGAGGCTCAGAGAGGGAAAGTCTGCCTGAAGCCACCAGCGAGCAGTGGTCTGGGACTGGAGCCTGGCCCCGCTGGGGACGCCGGCTTGCTGTGCCATGCTAAGGTCACCCTCAGAGAGAGCACCACTGGCTCTCTGGGAACTGGAGCAGAGGGATCCCTGCTCCCCACCCCCGCCCCCTCCACACACACAACCCAGTGGCAGCTGCAGGGAGGAAAACTCAGTGCCCTGAGATCTGGGGCCTGTCCTCGGGTCTGTGGCCCAGGGCCAGGTCCCGGCCGGCCGGGGATGTGGAGGAAGAGCTGGCAAACCCAGTGAGTGGGTCATGCATTAACCCTACTGCTCCCAGCTCCATTTGCTCTGCCGGAGGATGAAGCCCGCGCTCTGCAGTGTGTCTCTCAACCTCCGAGTCGCCAGGCAGAGAAGGTTCTTCTGGGACTTCAGGATGGATTTAGACCTTTCTTCCCACCCTACCTCCAGTGAGCTCAGGGACCCCTCCCATCCCCCAGGCCGGTTCTGTGCTGTCTGCTCCCCTTTCTCTTGTCTGCAGACATCCCAGTGGCTCTCCTGGCTTAGCAACCACCCATGTCTATTTCCAGCTTTGACCCCTCCCCTGAATCCCAAACCTGGGCACCTCAGCACCTACCAGGCACCTCATACTCAACCCTCAAAACAAACCACCACCTGGCCTCAAACTGGTTTCTCTGTCCCGTGGCTCAGTGAAAGGCCTCCTCCTTCACCCAGTTGCTGCCCTGACCTTCAACCTCAGACCCAGGTGGTCATTCATGTGTCCAGCTGCCTACCTGACATCTCCACGTGCATGGCCAATGGGCACCTTCAATGCGCATGTCAGAACTGGACTCCCCACCCCCAAGCTGCTCCTCCCAGTCTGCCCAGCTCAGCAAATGGCAGCTGTATCCTTCCAGCTTTTCGGAACAAACCCCTGGAGTCATCGCTGGGTCCTCTTACTCCCTCCCGCCCATCCGTCCAGTTCCTCTTCGCTCCACTTCTGGCAGATATCTACACGTACTGAAATATTTATGGTGAAATGACAAGATGTTTTGGATTAGATTCAGAATAATCCCGGGGCAGAGGAGTGGAGTGCGCAAGGGGACAGAGACGGAGCAAGGCTAATCCACACGCCGACGATGGTTGCGGCTGAGTGACAAGTACATGCATATGATGGAGAGCACAGTGCTATTCTCTCCGCTTTTGCTTTCCCACAATAGAATAGTGTTCGTATGTGTCTGTGTTACGCACACTCACATGCATGTATGCATATGGGGAGAAAAAGGAGAGACAGTCCACAGAAGAGTAGGGGAGAAAAAGAGAAGATAGGAGAGAGGAGGGGAAGGAAGGAGAGGGTAAGGTAGAGGAGGGAAGACGAAAGAGAACTCCTCACAGCCTGTCTAGGTCATCATCCCCTCTCGCCTCCCAGCTGGTATTCCCTCCTCCTCCTTTTCCCATTTACAGTCTATTTTCAACACCGCCGCCAGAGTGATCCTGATAAAACATGTCAGCCCGTGTCACTCCTCTGTGACTTCCATCTCACACAGAGGAAGAACCTGCGTCTCCCAGGAGCCTTCCACCCGAGTCTGCCCTCTGAGAGACAGTCTGTGCCACCTCTCTGAGCTTCTGCTTCTCTCCCTCTCCCCACTCCAGCCGTCCTGGTTGCCCGGCTCTTCCTCATGTTAGCCTAACCTGCACCTCGGGGCCTTTGCACTTCCTCTTCCTGTCCTGCAGGCTCCAGCCACGATTTCTGCATGGTTCTCACCTCCTTCCGGTCTTGGCTTAAATACTCTGAGGACTTCCCCGGCCACATAATCTATAATAATAAAAGGCTAATATGCAAACAGACCAACAGCAGAATGACCGGTCGCTATGATGCACACTGACCACCAGGGAGCAGACATTCAACGCAGGAGCTGCCCCCTGGTGGTCACTGTGCTCCCACAGGGGGAGCACTGCTCAGCCAGAAGCCCGGCTCACAGCTGGTGAATGCAGCAGCGGTGGCGGGAGACTCTCCCTCCTCTGCAATAGTGCTAAGGATGTCTGACTGCCAGCTTAGGCCCGCTTAAGCCAGCATTCGGACATCCCCAAGGGCTCCTGAACTGCAAGAGGGCGCAGGCCGGGCTGAAGGACTCCCCCTAAGTGCATGAATTTCATGCACCAGGCCTCTAGTAATCTATAGTACCCCCAGAACCTATTTTTCACATATCTATTTTTTCCTGTGTTGTGTATCATTCCCTAGAATACTGTATATCTTACTTATTTCATTTACTGTCTCTCTCCACCCTTTAGAAGCTCAGCTCCACCAGCACAGATGTTTCTATTTTGTCCATTGCTCTAACACAGGCACAGAATGGTGCCTGGTATGTAGTGGTTAGAAAATATTATTTTAATGAAAGGACAGGTTTGCCTCCTCGCACCCCTGGAACCTGGCCTCTATCTCCAACAGGACTGATTGCCTTAGGCCAGGCCTTCCCCAGCTGCCCACCTCCCACCTCCCCCTCCACCCCCCAACCCTCACTCTACTCCACTGTCCCAGAGCATGGCCTCAGCACCTTCCATTCTTAGTTTCCTGCTCCTAACGTGTACAGGCTCTGTTCTCCCTCCCCACCCCCCTACCCCACTGTCCCAGAGCATGGCCTCGGCACCCTCCATTCTTAGTTCCCTGCTCCTAACGTGTGCAGGCTCTATTCTCTCTCCCCTCCCACTTTCCACAAGTTAGAAGAAATCCTAAAGCACAGTTCTGACTGTCTCATACTCTCCTGCTTTTGAAATCCCGGGCAGAGGGTCAGGGGTGAGGGCTGGGGAGTGGTCATCCCAACATCAAGTCCATGCCCTCGACCCTCCATTCAAGTCCTGAGGGCCTGAGTGGTCATCCCAACATCAAGTCCATGCCCTCGGCCCTCCAAGTCCTGAGGGCCCAGCGCCCCCTCTGCTGAGCTGCCCTCACTCCCTCCCCCGCACAGCGTGCTGGGATAGGCACAGTTTGGTTAAGAGCAGAAGCCCTGGGGCCAGGTGGCCTGGGTTGAACCCAGTCCTGCCACTTGCTGGCTGGTCGGCCCTGAACAAGTTACTTACGTTTAGCTAACTGCTTCCTCGTCTGTAAAATGGGGCCATACCAGCAGTCTCTTCCTTACGGAGCCGTGAGCACCACATAAGAGAATCCATGTAACGTGGTTCCCCATGTCACCTGTGACGTGGTAAGTGCTCACAGGCACGGGCTGCAGTGGGCATTGGATGGAACCGCTTATACTGATACCCAGACACCCGCCTCTACCTCCCTGTCCCACCTCCATCCCTGTGCTCCCGCTGCTCCATCACTCGCCACCCTTTGGCCCTCAACTCCAACATGTCACCTCATCGCCTCCCCCCACTCTGGACAGCCACTATGACCTGGTTGGGCATGAGTGTCCCATGCCAGTCTACACAGAAGTGACACCCTTGCCTGTCCACGGGTACCCTACGAGCCTGGTGCGGGGCCTGGCGAGGGTAGGTGCTCAGTAGGTGTTTGACAAGCGAGGTAAAGCCACACTTCCACGGACAGGTGCAGAGCTGGGCAGAGCTGGACCCCAGTTCCACGCAAGTGCTGGTGAGGTCACTGCCCAACACTGCCCACATCCCATCCTCTGCACAGCACCCCGCACCTTCTACCCTCTCCCTGTTTAGTCGTGTGGGCTTTTACCCGCCCCCCTGCTCAGCCCTGGGCTAGAATTCACGCTCCATTATGGCGGTGACTTTGGCTTGTTCGGCGGTACCTCTAATACTTGTCAAATGTAGGAGGAAGACAGGCAGTGACTGGGGCCACTGCTCTAGAGGAGGTCGCCAGGCTGAGGTGTGGGTGACAATACAGAGCCAAGGCTGCAGAAAGAACAAGAGGGGATGGAGTGGTCTCGGGCTTGGAGTGCCCGGCGACCAGCAGGCGCCAGTGCAGCCTGCAGTGCAGGCCCTGGGCTGAGCTGGGGAAGGCTCCCTGGGCTGAGCTGGGGGAGGGAGCCCTCCATTCCCTGCCCCCTGACACTGGAAGCAGTGAGGACTGCGGGCTGAAGACAGAACAATAACAGCTAATACTCACTGGCTGGTCTAAGTGCTTCACAATTACTAGCTCGTTTAAACCTCCCACAGCCCTATAAGGAGAGACTCCGGGAATCCCCAGGCAGCCTTAATATGGCTGGTGAAGAGCCGGCGGGTTCCAGGCAGCCTGGCTCCCGAGGCTCGGATTGTAACTAACAAGCGGCTGTACCTCCTCTGAGGCCTAGATGGGAGTGACTTCTGCGTCCAAACCCTCATTTTACAGGTGGGGAAGGTGAGGCTGGGAGAGGAAAGGTTTAACCCAGGGGCAGAGGTCATGGCATGCAGGTCTCCGGGCTCCCAAGCCAGCATTCTTGCCACTCGGGGGGTGCTAGGGCTCAGCTGGTGACCAGCCACCCTGAATTACATGATGGAGTGCACAGTGCTATGCTCCCTAGGTTTGGTTTCTCACAACAAAATACTGTTGGCATGTGTCTGTGTTACACGCACTCACATACATGCATAGGGATGGGGAGAAAGAGGAGGGCAGGGAGAGGGCCCTTTGCTCCTGACTCTGAGCCATGACCACAGGACCACGGTCATCTTACCTTGGAGGATCTAGGGAGCAAGGTGGGGCAGTCCTCCTCCAGCCCTGGCTCTCCCAGCCCCTCCCTTTCTTCCATCCTTCCCTCCAGATGCTTCCCTCCCCACTCTCCCCCTGGGAGCTACTCAGGCCCAGGGCAGTGGGAAGTCTTGAATATTTAATTGCCTTTCGCCTTGGGGAAGCAGGCAGGGCTGCCAGGGAGAAGGAAAACAGGAAGGGCTGGTGTGGGAGAGGGGTGTGGAGGACCTAGGGCCTCTGTCAGGCCAGAGGTCAGGCCAGGCCTGGGTGGAGGTGGAGTCTGAGTCTGAGGCCCAGCTGCAGTTCATGGGGGGGCGGGGGGTCTCCTAGAGGCAAACCCTCCACAGGTTCCAGGGAGGATGAGTGGAAAGCAGCATCCCCCAGGAGCAGGGAGGCGGGGGTTCCTGGCATGGCCAATGCATGTGGCAGGGGCAGGGGAGAAGGAGGTGAGCAGGGGAGGGGGAGGAGGAAAGGGAAGGAAGGTGGAGATGAGAAGTCAGGGGAGGAGAAGCTGGAGGCCCTGTGGCCTTCCACACCCAGGAGCTCCTCAAGGTCATGCACACCACAGTGAGTTCTGAAAGCTGCACACGACAGGCTTCAGGCGCGTCTGTCCGTCTCCACCTCTCCTCCATGTTCCCTCGCTCACTGACTCCTGCACCAGTTCCAGCTGGAAACAACCTTTCCACCCCACTGTATGCTGGGAACTCTGCCCTGCTGGTTGTCTAGCCCCAATTCATACAACAGAAAGGTCCAGGGGGTAAAGGACGGGCAGGCAGGTGTGTGCACGCACCCCGTGTGTGTACTGAGGCTGCGTGTTACGCATTGAGTTCTGGGTACATCCATGCAGAGTGAGGTCCCCTGTGTATGCAAATTAAAAGTGATGTGTGTCACCTGTCCTGGCGGGGACAGGTGTACCGCACCATGACTGAGAGCAGGGAATTGGCAGCCTGGAGTCCCAGCTCTGCCATGGACCTACCATGTGATCTTTAAAGCAAGTCACTCCAGCACTGTGCCTGAGCTCCTTGTCTGTAAAATGGACACACTCCCTAGCATCAGTGTGAGGATTCAATGAGACGTGCGTGTGAGATGGGGGTGCTGGCCTTAGTGCCCGGCATGAGACAGCACTTATTAAAAGAGGATCCTTATTAATATTGCTGCTGTTGTAACTGCCATGTCCAGATGTGTGACAAAGAATCAGGCTGTACGACCACAACATACACACTCACACACACACACACTAAAGTCCCCAAGGGACTCCTCCCTGCCACCCCACACCAAGGGCCAGGTGGCGAGAGATAGAGCCAAACAGAACTTACCAAACACCTCATCAGCGGGTTCTCGGAGCTTTGAAGAAGCCATGGCTCAAGAGAGCTGGGGAGAACAAAGGGGTAGACGGAAAAAGACCATGGGTAAGAGGTTCAGGTTGGTGGAGGCCAGGGAGCCACCAATGGCTACCTGCTCCTGGCCTCTGGCCCCTCCCCTTCCCTCCGAACTCTTCCTCAGGCCCCTGGAAGAGAAGTTATCTGAAGGATAGCGACAGCGATAGCCCGGATTGTGGCGGGTGGGGCAGAGGGCAGGGGCAGAAGTAGGTCCAAGGTGTAGACACAGGCTGAGTCCTGTGGTCATGGTCCCAGCTGACTTGCCGTATGCCTCTACCCAGGTCACAGAACTTTCCCCCTTCACTCTCTCGGGCCTTTCCTTCGTTATCTTTCCCAGAAAACTTTTAATCATCATAAACTGTCCAAAAGAAAATCTAGGAGAAATCTTGGAGATTCTTAAATCCAATCCACTCACTTTACAAATAAAGCAACAGGGAGAATGGCCTAAGATCACATAACAAGTTAACGGCAATATCAGGACCAGAACTCAGGTTCTTCCACCATCCATCTACCTACCTCCCTACCTTCACACTCATCCACCCATCAGCCATCCACCCATCCAGCCCTCCCTCCATCCATCCCTCCATCTTTGCATCCATCAGTTCATACTATCCCCCCATCCGCCTTCCAATCCATCACCCAGCCCTACCTCCCTACCTTCACACTCATCCACCCATCAGCCATCCACCCATCCAGCCCTCCCTCCATCCATCCCTCCATCCCCCTCCCTCCCTCCCTATTTACACATTCATCCACTCATCATCCCTCCATCCATCCATCCCTCCATCTTTGCATCCATCAGTTCATACTATCCACCCATCCACCTTCCAATCCATCACCCAGTCCTACCTCCCTACCTTCACACTCATCCACCCATCATGCACCCATCCCTCCAACCCTCCCTCCATCCATCCACCTCCCTCCCTCCCTATTTACACATTCATCCACCCATCATCCCTCCATCCATCCATCCCTCCCTCCCTCCATCCATCCATCCCTCCCTCCCTCCATCCATCCATCCCTCCCTCCCTCCATCCATCCATCCCTCCCTCCCTCCATCCATCCATCCCTCCCTCCCTCCATCCATCCATCCCTCCCTCCCTCCATCCATCCATCCCTCCATCCCTCCATCTTTGCATCCATCAGTTCATACTATCCCCCCTCCGCCTTCCAATCCATCACCCAGTCCTACCTCCCTATCCACATCATTGGTGTGCTCACCACCTGCCTTCCTGAACACAAGGTACTCAGGAAGCTGGCGCCATCAGCAGCAGAGCCACTGTTCTTGACAAACTCGCAGTTCTAGACAGACTCACAGATGCCAGAGGGTACGAGGAGTACTCACGGCACAGCAGTGGACAGCCAATTCTCTATGATGCATTGAGCATGTTCTGGGAAGAAGTGCAGATGGGTGGGGGGCTGATTTTGTGGTTTTGGTGGGAAGCAGGAGGGCAGGTGGGGAAGCAGGATATGTGCAGCTGAAGCAATTGGGGCTTCCCAGCAGATATAGGATCGCAGCAGCCGACACCAAGGCCTGGGTGTCAGAGGGGCAGGGGAATACTGGATGAAGGAAGAGCGAGGAAGATCAGGGGCAGGGCACACTGCGTTCCCAGGCCATGATCTCCAGTTACTTCTTTTTTGTTTGTTTGTTTTTTAATTCTCACCCCAGGATATTTTTCCATTGATTTTTAGGGAGAGGGGAAGACAGAAACATTGATGTGAGAGAAACGCATCCATTGGTTGCCTCCTGCATGAGCCCCGACCAGGGCCTGGGCTGGGGAGGAGCCTACAACCAAAGTACATGCCCTTGACCGAATCAAACCCGGGACCCTTTGGTCCACAAGCGGATGCTCTATCCACTGAACCAAACTGGCTAGGGCTCCAGTTACTTCCAACACTCCGGTCTGCATGAGAAGGGCAGGGCACTGGGTTAGACCAGACATGTAGTAGGTGTAAGAAAGCTAAGTCACGTGCCTGGGGCCTTTCCCAGCTGTCCCGTTATTACAGAGACATGTCTCACGGAGTGCTAACCCAGCTTGGGACTCTTAGTATCCCCACGTTATAGGTGTGGAAACCAAGATGCAGGAGATAACTGGCAGAACGCCACCTTGACCCGGTCTCCCGCCCCTCAGCCCTGTCCTGGGTGAGGATCTGCAGTTTTGGAAGATGCTCATAAGGAAAGGACACCGAGGGGACAAAGGTAGAGGAAAGGGGGCTGCTCCATACTGGCTAGAACTGGGAGAAGCCGGCTCTCTGGCTGCTTGGGGCTGAAAACAGGAAATGAGGTATCAGAAGGGGGCAGGTATACGGGCCCTCCAAGAACCCTCCCGCCATTCCTGAACTCTGGGTGCAAGTAGCAAAGAAGTTGTAGGACCCCTCTTCCTGTCCTGAAGGGCCAGAGGGGCAGGGAGGCTGCCCCTAAGAATAAACCACATTTCCTCATTCCATCACAAAGCTGCATCTGACCACACGGCTGCCACCTCCTCCAGAAAGCCATCCTAGATAGCCCTCCGTCCTCCCATGTGTCTACATAACTTCTAAATCCACCCTTACCCAAGCACTGGGAAGTGAGGAATTTTTCATATTTCATTGATTCTCTCAGTGGGTCATATCTCTCCCACATCTGAATGGGAGCTCCCTGAGGAGCGGGGGCAGTGTTCCCCACCAGACTAAGAACGCTCTGAAGGTAAGAATGGAGCCCTGCATAGAAAGGGAGTGGACTGGCTATTCTTGGGGGTGAAAGGGATGAGGGGGATGCGGGAAGAGACTGGACAAAAATTGTGCACCTATGGATGAGGACAGTGGATGGGGAGTAAGGGAGGAGGGTGGTGTGGGAACTGGATGGAGGGGAGTTAGGGGGGGGGGGAAGAGGAACAAATGTAATAATCTGAAGAATAAAGATTTAATTAATAATAATAAAAAGAATGGAGCCCTGGCCGGTATGGCTTCGTTGGTTGGAGCATTGTCCCACATAGGAAAGGTCATGAGTTGGGTTTTGGGTCAGGATACATACTCAAGTTGAGGGTTTGATCCCCGGTCAGGTACATACGGGAGACAACTGATCAACTGAGAGATGTTTCTCTCTCATATTGGTGATTCTCTTTCTCTCTCTCAAATCAATAGCAAACAAACAAGCATATCCTTGGGTGAGGATTTAAAAAGAAAAGGTAAATTTTAAAAAAGATAAGAATGGAGGCTCCCTGAGGGAAGCTGTGGTGACTCCTCTCTTAGACAACCTGACATGGAGATCCCATGTGCTCTTTTCTTAACATTTTTATTGATTTCAAATTTTTTTAATCCTCACCCGAGTAGTGAGGATATTTTTCCCATTGATTTTTAGAGAGAGTGGAAGGGAGGGGGAAAGAGAGAGAGAAATATTGATGTGAGAGAGATACATCAATTGGTTGCCTCCCCCTCCAGCAGGCCAATCAACTGGGCCAGGGATTGAACCTGCAACCAGGTACGTGCCCTTGACTGGGAATCAAACCCCCAACCCACCGCTCTAACCACCGAGGAAGCAAGGGGCCCAGGTGTTCTTTATTCAAGGCCAGTCCAGGTGGAGACCCTCTGGGGAAAGGAGTCCTCGGTCAGGTGCCCTCAGGGGAGGGCGGGGCTTCCAGCTCCCACCTGCGCCCAATCCGTCCTGATTCAGCACAAACTGCTTTCTTCCCCACCTTCACCCAGAACTCCCTGTGGCTGGGGGACCCTCCTTACTCTGGAAGCAGGACATCCAGGGGGTCACCAGGCCTCTCCCACTCAACCCCCCCATTCCAAACTGAGCCATCACACTCGTACACGTACACACACACACACACACACACACACTCAACCAGGTAACTGCCGCAGGGAGAGATGAACCTGTCCCTCCGCTCATAGTCTGAACTCTGATGCTACTGGGCGCTCCTTCCAATTCTCGGAAGAGGAGCTCCACTGACCTTTGACCCTTTTCTGGGAGCCAGGTGAGCTCAAAGCTTCTTGGGACCCAGGGGAAGGAGAAAGAGAAGGAAAGGGGCATGGCCCGGAGAGAGAGGGGTAGTAGGAACAGACTGGGTGGGGTGCGGGGGTCAGTCCACAGAGCCCCAGAGAGAAGGAAGAAGGAGAGGAGACAGCGGGGCTGGGGAGAGCGGAGGTAGAGAGGGCCACCGGCAGCCCCGAGTGAGGCCCAAGGGGGGCTGTGGAGAGGGGTGGCCCCAGCCGGGCAGCTGGAGGAAAGACGCCCAGGAGGAGCAGAACGGGACCGAGAGAGAAGTGCAACCGGGAAAGGCTGGAGGAATGGCCGGCAGAGGAGGCTGGGGTGCGAGGAGGCAGTTGGGCAGCCAGAGAAAGCCAAGCCCCTCTCCCATAGGCCCAGGCTGGGGGCGTCCGGCAAGCGTGCCCCCCACCCCCTGGCGCCGCTGGAGCTGGGGGAGAGGTGGAGGGCAGGGCACCCACTGCACCCCTAGGGCCCCACTCCCCCGTCAGAGCCTCTCGGACAGTTTCTTCCCAATCCATCAGCCCCTCGCGGCGTTGGACAAGAAAGAGTTAAGCCCTCTCCCCCTCCTCCCACGCCAGTTTTTTAAATTAATTTATCCGGGCAGCGGGCAGGGGAGAGGATTAGGGACACCATCCTGTCTCCGTCCCCTCCCCTGGCAGCCCGGCCCCCGGCTCCTCGCAGCCCCCAGGGACGGGGAAGAAAGGCCCCGCCGCTTCACTCCGTCCAGCCCCCCTCGGGGTCCCCCGCAGCCCGG